GGTTCCGAAGGCTCCAGGACCGCTGACTCGGCGCTGAGTGTGTTTAACGTGCATTTTCTTGGACCCACGACGCCGCCGCTGTCACGTCACCACCTGCACTCGAACTCGAATTCGAGCCACATCGAACCACTCGCGCCACCTTCGCTAACGTAACGTAACGTTGTTGTTGGTGTTTTGGGGATATTGCTGGTTATATTTTTTTTTGTTTTATTTCCTTTTCAGGGTGTTGCTATTGCCGCCGGAAAGGCCCCGCAATGCCCGCTGCAATTCTTGGCCTTGTCATGGCGGCTGAGTATGTGCGCGCGTGTGTGTGTTGTAGTAGAGTGTGCAGGTGTGGGTGCAACTTCCGCTTCGATTTTTGGCATTAACTAATACAAGTCCAGAGCTCGGGCACACGGACACGTAAACAAAAATAAATTGCTTTTCGTTGTGTTACTCTCTCTATTTCTTTTTTGCTATCTGGCTGTCTCACTCGCACATGGGGCCGTTCATCGTCGTCGTAGTCGTCGTCGTCCTTATCCGTGTTTTTTAGGTTTTAGGTTTATAGGTTAGGTTTTCGATTCGATTTTGGTGGGTTCTTAGGTGTTTGGTTGAGTAACGTAGGTTGGGTGAAGGTATCTAAAAGGTGGCCTCTAAAATAGTCAACAGCACTGCTTGTATTGCTTATCGTTCTTCACTTTTCGTTTCGTTATGCGCTCGTTATGTTCGTTTTGAGGTTATGTGACTCTATGACTTTATCTGTTTTGAGAGTTGCGTGTATAATAATACCATATGTTACTATTTATAGATTAGCTTTTGTTTTACTTTAGTTAACAGCGTTATTTTCGGGGCTATTCGTTTTGTACTTTGGATTATAAATGTCGGTTTATCCTCTAAGGTATAGTTATTGTTGCTATTCGGTTGGTGGTGTACAGATGTGATGGTGGGGCCTGGAACTGGAACTGGAGCTGGAGCTGGAGCTATAACTGTAACGGGAACAGGAACGGTAACGGTAACGGTAACTGGAGCTGAAGTGGGGTGGGCAGGATCGGGATCCGAGATGTGGATCGTTGAATTATTTATCACAAATAACAAACTAGAGGGGATTGCAGGATGATGACAGCTCAGTTTGCTCCCTCTGGCTTCCAACCCTCTGGCCGCTCCAATCCTCCTCCTCCCGGCTTAAGTTAATGTTTGGTCATGAAAGTTTAACGAACGCACCGCAGTTTTGGCTTTGCGGTCGCCTTTTATTTTTTTTTTCACTTTTGTGGCAAATGGAAGCGACGCGAGTTAAGGCGGAGTTACGTCAAGGCAGCGCAACACGGGAAACCCAAAGCAGGTAGCTTAATATCGTCCTGTACGTTTGTATCTGGGGTCCTACGTGTGTTTGTGTTTTCGTATCTGGCACGAGGAACACGCAAAGGATCCGAATCCGGACCCGGCGACAGTCCCTCCTCGGGACTCCGACTCCGTGTGGCAACGTCCTTCGCCACCCAATTAATGCATTAATCGCCCTCTTTACTTATTCAGATGCAATTTGAAAAGCCTAGGTCGAGGTCGGGTTCGGGGATGGGATCGAGTTTTGCTTTAGCGGCATTATAAAAATAAATCCATATAGGTAGATATACAGACTGGCGTTTATCTATTCGCTACGGCTAAATATCTTGTATATATCTCGTAGGTGTATATATATATATATATATGTTGTATATAGAGAGGCAACTACTTGGTAGTTTTAGTTAGTCGTTAAGTGCGTTTATGTTGCGGTTATTTGAATTTGCTGTCTGTTTGCTGTCCTACGGGCAGAGACGCATGTCTCTCTACAAACTACGAGGTTAGTTCCATTACTCTATCTCAACGGGGATTACGCTCTATATCCTTGGGCTGTGTCTTTAACTTCCAGCGGTGAACAAACGGCAACGAACTACGGGTTTTTTTTCAAATTTTTTTAATTGCGGATATCGTTTATCTATAGCACTTTTTGTATATAGCGAGTGTCCTTTGTATATTTTTAAAAGTAAATCTAATCTTGGGTTTGCTTTTTTTGGGTTACGCTTTTAAGATTTGCTCAATTTCATTGTTGCAGGTACTTTGGTTTTGGTTTATCATTACGTTCTATTTTTGGTTATCGCGTGTCCTCTATTTTTAGGCGTTTCCAGGGTTTTCGACTTGCTGACGACTGGCTGGCGTTGATTAAATAATTCTGCACTTTGCGTTGATTTTTCGTGTTGGCTTTCAAGTCCTTGTTTGCGCTGGTTTCCGCTTTTCCTTGTTTGTCTCTTATCTTCTTACTTGCACTTTCATTTTTATTTGTATTTTTATTTATTTTTTGCCAGTCGTTCTATTTGATTATGTAATTATGCTTGGTTTCTTATTGGATATTGAACAGTACGTGTGTCCTAGGGCTATGTGTGTGAGTGTGTGTGTGTGTGGTGTGCGGGGGTATTGGTGTGTTACATGCGATTTTTTCAGCTGCTGCGGCTGTGTTTGTGGTGGTTTCGTTGGTTTCGTGGGTTGCGATAGACGTAAGTGGTTCGTCATCAACATTTTTCGCACATACATACACGATTCACGGGCGCCACACGGGGCTATATATATATATATGCATGTGTGTGTGCCAGGGGCAAGGGTGTGCGTGTGTAAGTCTTTGTAGAGGAAATTTATTGAATGAAACGTCAAGCGATTTGACGAATTTTAAACAAATTATTTATAACACACAGAGACACAGGAGGCACGCACACACGCACACGCACAGGCAAATATTGCGAGAGAGGCACGCACACACACAGGGCACAGTCGTGGCACGAAAAACGGCACACAGGACACCGTGGTGGGTGGTGGTGGTGGGTGGGAGGATAACAAGGAGGAGCTGAGGAAGAGGAAGCCAGCGGAGTGGAGGTGAAAGTGGGAGGAAGTGCACACGTTAAATCAATGCTTCTTTTGACCTCTATTACATTTTCGTCTTGCCTCCTACTCCTCCTCTTCTTTGTCCTCTTTGAACTCCTCTTTTTCTACCGAGCCCACGACTACCTGGTACTTTTTTCAACGCCCGTGTTACGGCACATTTAATATTTCATATTTCTTTTTCCTACATATGTAGGAAAAACTCTATGTACCAGATACACAGTCACTGGTTATTGCAACTTATTTCATTACTTTTCTTTTCGATTTCAAATTGGTTTCTCAAATTTTTTGGGTCGCGCTGGCTCCTTTCGTTTTTTTTCGGCCTGTTTAAATGTTTATCACAATGCTGGGGTCGCTTTCGCTGAATGATTTATGCCATTCGCCACCGAGCAGCGCACTTAAACTTGCTATTTGAAATCTCTTCTTTATGTAACGAACGGAATAACGGCACACTCGCTGCTGCTGCTGCTGCGACTGCTACTGCTGCTGCTGCTGCGACACGAACGAACTCAGCGCGACAAGTGAAACTTGGCTTTCCGATTCGCATGCCACTGACGTGCGCCGTGGAAACAGGACCAGAAACAGAAACTGAAACAGCACCAGAAGCAGGAGCAGAACCAGAAAGAGCCGAGCCGAGCCTGCTAGATTCGCTGAAAATCGATAAGGACAGGCAAAGTCGCCTGCCAAAATCCTGAGTAGGGGGTCCTGGGATGGCAAAGGCGAACGGCACAAAAGCACATTCTTCTGCGGCCAAAGTGAAACCGAGAGCATGTGGGTGGCGCGGCAGTGAAAGTGCACATGTCCTGAGTTTCTCGTGTCCTGCGGCACAGTGGAGGTCCTTAAAGATGGTCGGCTTTGATAAACTCACTCAAATGCACAGAATAAATATTAAAAACTTGAAAGGATTATAAAAAAATGGTCATAGCATACCAGAAGGCGTAGGTAATATCAGCAATTTGAATTGCCAAGGTTCATCCTTTTTTAGCAAGTGTTCAGTTAGAAGTAGGTATTCCTTATTATTTATGAAGCCTGTAAAGTAAACTACCAAAATGTATCACAGACTATTCATATATCTATTGTAACTCGTCCTAAAAAATAAAAGGTTCAAGATGCCCATCATTAACACATTCTAAATTCCACAGTCATGAAAATATGTACATGAATTTATATTTTAATTTTAATTTATATTTATAAATAAATTAATAAAGTAAACCAAAGCGACTTTTTAATAGGTGTCTTACGAAAAGAAATTTTATATTAGATAAATTATTAAACACCACATTAAGTTGTTGTTTCAGGAGGACAAACATTATGTTAAATACTAAAGACTGCCAGTTTTCCCTATTAAAGTATTTATAATGTACAAACCTAATATAATAGATCAACAAACTAATTGATACTAGGTATAAATGTTCTTGTTAATTGTGGTTGATATACTGTAAAAGACAAGGAAATATACAATAACCCAAACCAAAAAAGAAAGCATACTTTTAGGGATGTACCGCTACTGTAGGTATACCAACACTGGCGACCGCCACTGTAATCCTCGCATGCCTTTTCGGCTAAGAGCGCGAGTGCGCATTTGCCAGGCTCTCAGGCGAATCCTTTCATCCGCTCACAGTCCTTTCAGCCGCTCCCGCTGCAAAGACAAAGCCGAATCCGAAACCGAATTGAGAATGAATCGCCGTGCCGAGGAGCTCCTCGGATAACAGCCTTTGTGTTTGCGCCCTGAATGAAAGTCCGCCAGCCTGGGCCATCAGCCATCAGCTGGCCCGTTTGGCTGGCTGTGGGCTCCAACGCTTTCTGAATTGCGCTGCCCACGCGAGGCGGCATCCAAGTAAACAAATACATGTGCGCACTGCTGTGATAATAGGGCGTCGCGCACATGTTCAGCTGTAAGGTCAGAGCACAGCGTGTCCTTACAGTGAGCCATGGCCGCAGCAACACTTGCACACGCCCCACAATGGGATCAAAGATCAAGGGCGTTCTGATCTCTTCTAAAGATTCATTTTATCACATCAATTCGAACTTAAAACGATGGGAACTAGACATATAACATTTGCATCTTATAAATTATCATCATCACAATTATAGTAAAAACAAAAAACAAATCGATATGGGATGTATACAATTTTAAGTTCGAATTTGGACATCTTTCGTACAGTTCACATCGAAATTCTGTGTTTGTCTTAAACAATTTTTTGTTTAACTGTTGACAAATTTGTACCCATACAATATATTGTACATAGAGAATAGTTTGGACCTTGATCCTTTTGTAAAGGACCAGGCAACATTTTTTGCCAAAGCTTTTTTGGATATACATATGTAAATGGCTATCGGTTACAAATTTAACAACAGTTAAACAAAATAATGTTGATAAAATTGATAAGAACTGTATAATATAATATCTTAATACAAACGGGCAACAAACAACACGAGTATTATATACAAAAGGCAGTGAGGTAGGCTGCTGGAAGTACTGGAAACTCCACCCCTAACCTGAAAGTTTCCGAAGAAGAAAGTCCTGGGACGCTTGAGAGATGGCAGCTGCTGACACTGACCGGAGAACCACTTGCGGATGTTGCCGTCGCTATCCCGGGATAATATGCATATTTCAGCGGCACGCAGTTTATCTTCTCCAAGCTCCTCGAGTTTTTCCACTGAAATCTGGGCAGTTCGATTGTTGTACGCGTAATCCGATTGGTATAGCACCTCGTTGCTGCTGCTGCGGATATACACTTGGAAGTCTGCGACGTCTGAAGTGCCGGACACATACCAGCTTAGGGTCAACAAGCCAGTTTTGGTACTGTGTGACAGAAAAACAAGGTTGATAATTACTAAGTATTTAAGTATATGGCTTAAAAGGTGTTTCCTTTTACATGGCATTTTGGAATCGAACTTAAACTTAATTTTTGCTTACGTTTTCACTTCTCGGAAACGGACATCGGTAAGCTGTTCATAGTCAAAGCCCTTATACCTCTCCCGCTCGTCCTCGTCGCAGTGCAGGTACTCATCTTCCAAAGAAATAAGCTGCTTGTCCTTTATCAAAGCTGGTGTGCCGCAGTAGATGCTCTGCAAATCCTCGCTGGGCACCGTTTGCTGCAGCATAAAGTACTTCAGAGGGCGCGCATTGCATCCGCAGTGCAGGGGATTCGCAGCAAGGAGCACTTGGCTACCATTCCGCATGCTGCTCACTACGGAGGCGGGAATATCCTCCAAACTATTGTTGGTAAGATCAACATGTTTCAAAGAGCTAACCTTCACCAGGTTGGCGAAGGGCAGGTGGTAGATTTGATTGTGGGACAGATCCAGGCTGCTCAGGTTTTGTGGCAGGTCGAAGATGTGCTCCTCAGATGCCAGATTTGCCAGCTCATTGTAGGACATGTCCAGACTTTGAAGGGAAGTGAAATTGGAAATAACTCCTCTCCTAAGATCGTTGATCTGGTTGTGGGACACATCCAACTTAAACAGCTTCTTGGTCCCAAAGGTAATGTCATAGGTAAGCACGGGCATTCGGTTGTAGCTCAGGTTCAGGTTCCTCAGATTGTACGGAATGTACTGATGTGAGGGAAAAGTCTTCTTGGTCACAAAACTTATACGATTGTGGCTCAAATCCAAGGTTTCCAAACTGAGTAAATCGTCCAGGACGCCATTGGTTTTGTTGTCCAATTTGGTGAGGGAGTTAAAGGACAGATCAAGATTTCGCAGCGAGGGTAGGCCAATAAAGATGTCATTTTGCAGCTGCTGGATTCCATTGGATGATAGATTTAGAGTAAGCAACTGCAGCAGGCCCTCAAAAGCTCGTTTGCTACAAGTTGAAATAGGGATATTAATCATAGCATATGTTTAAAATATATTTAAATAACAACATACCTTATGTCCGTAACTTGGTTGCCATACAGATTTAACTCAAACAGTACTGGCAGCTTGCCAAAGGCACTGCGCTCAAGGGTGGTAATGTTATTGTTCTAAACGGAAATGAGATTGTAATTAAAATTATTCAATTTCATTGTATTTACCCACCTCCAAATACAAATACTGCAATGTTGACATGACAGCTACTGCCTCGCGTGGTGGCTGGCTGATGCCATTATTCTGCAGCTTCAAACGTTGCACGACCAATAGACCCGTAAAACTTAGACCATTCAGGCTATCACCTAATTGATTATGGCTAAGATCTAAATAAATAAGTGAGTTCATTACCGGCCAGGTGCCCGCAGGAATTTCCGTCAGTTGGTTATGGCTGAAATGCAGTTCATTCAGGGAAATGGGCAGCTGGAAGAGTTTATCCAACTGATTGTTATTCAAGTACAGCTGCCGCAGGCTAGTCAACTTGGCCAGAGATCCTCGAGAGAGATCCTCCAATTCATTATGACTGAGATCCATCTCCAAGAGGGTTGGCAAAGTGCCAAAAGTGGAGGACTTGACCTCCCGCATGCTATTATAACTCAGATCAATGGATCGTAGGGAAAACAGGGTTTGAAAAACTCCATTAAAAATGCTGGAGATGTTGTTGTGCGAAACATCAATAGTGTGCAGTTCATAGAGCTTCGGAAAACAGTTCTTGGGTATCTCGGCTATGTTGTTGTGCGAGGCATTCAATACTTTCAAGCCCGTCATATTTTGAAGGGGAATCTGCAGAAAAGTATAAAAAAGTATTCTTTTTAAAATGCAAAAGACATTCTGTTACCTGCGCTAAGTTTGTGAGATTATTGTAGCTTAGCTGAAAATAGGTGGCAAAAGTGGTCTCATCGAAGCTGCGGCGCGAAAAGTTGGTCAAGAGATTATGGGACAGGTCAAGAACCGTTATGTTTACGCAGTTTTCAAAGGCAGCTGTTTCTATAAGTTCCAAAGCATTGTGCGAGACGTTTATCACAGCCTGGTAAATGTCCTTGAACGAGTTCTTTTCAATTTTGGCTATGTTGTTCTCCGCCAAATCGAGCAACTGAAATTTGGGAGATCAATTAGTAGGTTTATTGAAATATTTATGATTTTTAAAACTCACCTCCACATAGTTCATCTGGGTAAACATCTGGTATTCGACCTTTTTCAGTTGGTTTCGAGCTAAATCAATAGTTCCAATGCGGGCGATCGAACCAAAAGTACCGCGCCCAATATCCGTAAGCACATTATCACTTAGGAAAAGTCGTCGCAGGAAACGCATTCCCCTGAAACTATTTGCATCCAGACGAGAAATTTTGTTGTGGGACAAATGGAGCACTTTAAGCACAGAGTTTCTGGCAAAGGTTCCTCGACTTAGCTCGCTTAAGGCATTATGGGAAACATTGCACCATCCCATCTTTGTGAGATCAGCTATGTGCTGCGCCTCCAGCTTTTTGATCTGGTTGTGGCTAATATCCAGAACCTCTAGTTCTCTGAGGTTCTTAAACTGATTGCGTTTCAGGTTCTCCAACTCGTTGCCGTGCAAGTCAAGCGTTTTTAGCTTTCGCAAAGGTTGGAAGGTTTCAATAGGCAGATCACTCAGGTTTCCATTGGTAACCCTGATGGTCCCTAGGCTATTGGCAATTTCTTGGCCAGCAAAAAGATCCTTAGGCAGTTGCTCAAAGGCATGACCATCGATTACAAGTTCTTTTGCTTTTCCAAGAATCTGTAAAGGTATTTGATGTTATTATATAATAGCAATATTGTTCTGCTACTTAATATTATTCTTACACCGAATCCTAGTGGTCCTACGTGGCTTAGATTTGTGCGCAGTAGGTGCAGTTGCTCCAATGTGTTGTTCACTCCATAAAAGACATAATCCTCAATGGTGGCCAGTGGTGTTTCCTCAATGATCAGGAAACGTGCCTTGATATGAGCAAACAGAGGGCCATATAGACGTACTAGAAGAGAGAACACTAGAAGTGTTAAATGTTACATATTTTAGGGATTTATTAAGGTTTCTACCGAAATGTCCCTTGTAGATGGTCAGCTCCTCGATGGGCATTTCGAAGGAGGCCAAATTCTGAAGGGCTACGGACAAAGTGGCCAAATTGGTATTTTCACAGCGTATATAGAGGCCATTATCGCTGCCCTTTACACATTCGCAGGGGTACAAGACATTGGACCTGTTTTAAACACAATGTTATTGAAAAATATATCTCTTTATAAAATTCAACTTACTTTTTGGGGCACTTGAACTCGGGTTCGCCGTAGACATATTCGGAGCTGGCCAGGGCTATAAAATGCAGCAGAACGAGACTGCGCAGGCGTAGCTGAATCATGTTTCAGCGATTTCGTCAGCGTTTTAATTTTAAATTTGTTTAGCCCATGGCCCAAAACCAAGTTTGCTGCTGAAGTCTTTTGAGTGGATGGTGATTTCCTGGAATTTATAGTTCTTTGCTTTAAGTTTTTCCGCTTCAATGACTAGGTTTTTCCCTAATGAGAAGTAAAGTTAACTTGTCTTATCAACGAACAAAGGTAAATGTATTCATGGTTTCCTCACCACTTTTACTTTTCGCTCTGCGGGAGCAACAGGTTTTTGTTTTGATAGACCGCTCTTTTGGCCTCTTTTAAACCCTCTCTTTTTAGCTGTAAAATCATTCCGTTGAATGATTCTGAACTGTTTTAATTGTCCTTGAAAAGAAGCGCCCTCTGAATCACTTAAATAGCCTCTTGTATTCCACGAATTAACATATAATTATTTATTTATTGTATCATCTGCGCGCAATTTCATCGATAGATTTCGAGCAAGTTGGCAGCCCTGCCCAACTATCGCTTTAGCGGACTATCGGCAGCCCGCATATCGAATCGCCCGCACACGCAAATGCAACCCTGTTGTGACATCTCGCTCGTTGGAAAAGCAAAACCAGGCGCAAAATAAATAAAATTTGCTCACGTCCCCATACAATTCTCTTTGTACAGTCGCACAATCAAAAGTAAGTACAAACGCCTAACTAAATGGCCAGCGATAAAACGCCAAATGCAAAGTGCACACTCTTTTGGCATTCTGCAATTGAAATGAGTGGGCATTGTTCACGTTCTCGCCTCGCCAACGGGGAGAAATACTGACTTCGCCCGTTTTAGCCGCCATCGCGGCAACAGCCAATCACAGGCCAAGCTACACACACGCGGCAGAAAATCCGTGTACATACACGTCTAAGCGCTGTGGTATTGGTGGCCGGGGAGAACGCGAGTTACTCGCTGCACAGAGCGGTCCATTATGTTTTTGTTGCGCGGCAAAAGTGCGTTAATGGGCCCTGATCACACCCCCATTAATTATCCCACCTTGCATCCCTGTTCCGCAGTAAATAAACCAAGATGAGCTACGCCGCTGATGTTCTGAACTCGGCCCACTTGGAGCTCCACGGCGGTGGCGACGCCGAGCTGCGTCGTCCATTCGATCCCACGGCCCACGATCTGGATGGCTCCTTCAGGCTCACCCGGTTCGCGGATCTCAAAGGACGAGGCTGCAAGGTGCCACAGGATGTGCTCTCCAAGCTGGTGTCCGCCCTGCAGCAGGATTACTCCGCCCAGGACCAGGAGCCGCAGTTTCTCAACGTTGCCATTCCCCGGATTGGCATCGGTCTGGACTGCTCGGTGATCCCGCTGCGACACGGCGGCCTCTGCCTGGTGCAGACCACCGACTTCTTCTACCCCATCGTCGATGATCCCTACATGATGGGCAAAATCGCCTGCGCCAATGTGCTCAGCGATCTGTACGCCATGGGAGTCACCGATTGCGACAATATGCTGATGCTTCTGGCGGTCAGCACCAAGATGACGGAGAAGGAGCGCGACGTCGTTATCCCCCTGATCATGCGGGGCTTCAAGGATTCCGCCTTGGAGGCGGGGACCACTGTGACTGGAGGCCAGAGCGTGGTCAACCCGTGGTGCACCATTGGCGGAGTGGCCTCAACCATTTGCCAGCCCAACGAGTACATTGTGCCAGATAATGCCGTGGTGGGAGATGTCCTAGTGCTGACCAAACCTCTGGGCACTCAGGTGGCCGTGAATGCCCACCAGTGGATTGACCAGCCGGAGCGCTGGAACCGCATCAAGCTGGTGGTGTCCGAGGAGGATGTGCGCAAGGCCTATCATCGCGCCATGAACTCGATGTCGCGGCTAAATCGCGTAGCCGCTCGCCTTATGCACAAGTACAACGCCCACGGGGCCACTGACATTACTGGATTCGGACTGCTCGGTCACGCTCAAACTCTAGCTGCCCATCAGAAGAAGGACGTGTCCTTTGTCATTCACAATCTGCCCGTGATCGCCAAGATGGCCGCGGTGGCCAAGGCCTGCGGCAATATGTTCCAGCTGCTGCAGGGTCACTCGGCAGAGACATCGGGAGGATTGCTGATCTGCCTGCCGCGCGAGCAGGCCGCCGCCTATTGCAAGGACATCGAAAAGCAGGAGGGCTACCAGGCCTGGATCATCGGAATCGTCGAAAAGGGCAACAAGACCGCCCGCATCATCGACAAGCCGCGCGTCATCGAGGTGCCCGCCAAGGATTAGGTCTCCTCCACACGCCCAACCGCTTTTGTTTACCTTAAGTATCGTAATTTTAACGTAACTGCTGCTCCCCTCAGTTGTAACCGGCTTTATCGGTCTTTGTTTTTTATAAAAAAGCTTATCAACTACAGATTCTCTGATCACTATAATCATGGACGTCGCTACTGAAATACGAGTGAATAAAATGAAAACACTTGACTCTTTTGTATCGAGTAAACGAACGAGAACGGATTTTTCGGGGACAGCGGGGCATCTGGATCTGGATGAGCTTTTTTCAACTAAACTTTTGTTATTAAATCGCGCATCGTGGCTTAACGAAAAGTGGAGCATCTTCGAATTGTATACATTTTGAACAGTCCGCTGTCATTTAAATACTGAGAATTTAATCAAACTTTTTGACCCTTTAAATCAGGAATCGATCGGTTAACTCTATACCAAATGAATTGCTTCTGTTCAGTTGATGCACTTATAAATTTGCATAGTCACACTTTGGAATTAGAACTGCTAATATTAATACAAATTTTGTTTGCTAATTTTTGTTATACATATTTAGGCTTAGAGTCGGTTGCTAATGAAATCCAGCACGCGTTTTGAAAGTCAAATCTATGGAGAATTACGTGAATTTTAATTATAGAAGCTCTGTTTTGCGGTTCAAACTTTATAGCAGCTTATCAGGAATGTATATTCAAGAAATTAAGGCTACAAATTGCGTTCAATATTATCGTTTTTTTAGAAATACATCTAAAGCATTTAGAATTCATTTTTCGAGAAGTATTATATTTTATATCGATCTTGTTAAAAGTCGTATCACATACTTTTAAGGACTATAATGATAAAAATCTAAGCTGCTCAAATGTAGGAGAGCATAGGTCAAGCTTGAGAATCTAAAAACCTTTTTAAATTACTAGGGGTACTTAATATTGGCGATCGAATACACTACTATTTTCTCTATTGTTTGATCAATTGGCATTAGTTGCGCTGCTGAGAGGAAAGCTTTATAAGCTTCGAAAACAAAATTGAGACGAGAGAGGAGATGCTCTCGGGCGAACAGGTCTCCGGAGCACTGTGCTCCATGCACTGGTGGGTATGGTATGGTATGGGTATCGCATAGGGATCGCTGGTGGCAAGTGCCTCAGTACCGTTCGAGCTAGCGACGCGTCAAGATCCGAACCGTTAGTACACCGAAAAGACTTACACTGCGCGAACCGTAACACTTTTGTGCTGGGAGCGATCGAACACTAATACACTTACCAACGAATTTCCCGCACATCGAAGAGATTTTCCCTCCCCATTGAACTGTACCTGAATAGTTGCGTATTTGGAGTTTTGGAAAAGTGCAAAGTGAGTGTGGAGTGCCATAGAAAAAGAGACAGAGAGATAGATAGAGTTTGTGTGTGTGGGCTGTTGTGGCTTTTTGGTGTCTATGGTGTCTATGGAAGAGGAGCTCAAAACCGCAGTTAGAAACGAGTTTTCCCTACGTGTCGTGGTTTCATGTACGTGGAAGTACTCGCTTTTTGAAGTGAAATTCGAAAAGCAGCAGAAAAACAGAAACGCATCCTCCTCAGCCATGTATGTAGCAATGTATCTGGCAGATACATCTCTTCTTGGCCAGATGATTCATGTACGGTGGGCACTCGTACGTACACTCGATTTATTTCCCCACCGAACGGAACCGACGGCGCAGTATTCAAATTGAAAGAACAGTGGCAGTGAACTATAAATAGAATTATTTGTTTTCATATACCAACGAACAACAAAAAATGGCTAGGCAAAAGTCGAAAAGTGTTCGCTCGGAAATTCGCCCAGTAAATGTATCTGCGTGTCTTTGTATCCGTACGATTCGCCAAACTTTCGTTTGATTTAGCCAAGTTCAAACGGCGCTTGGCTTGAACTCGTGGATTGTTTTTGGTTGGTTTTTTTTTTGTGTGGGTGCCACAAATTGGCAACTCACACACTCGCACTTCGGCCAGAACATAAACATATATAGATAATGATACATGCCTGGCGCATATATAGACGTTAAAATTCGCCTACGTTTCGATTTGATTTTTCGGAAATTTCAACAACAGAACGACGGCGACGACAACAACACCTTCGCTTTTTTCGGCCGTTTCAAACTCGTTGGCTATAGCCTGATATTTGTTTATTTTACGATTCTGTTTGCCATTGCCTACGTATGCGTTCTGGCATTTGGCGATTTGTGATCAGCGATCTCGCTTCCCATTCCCCCATCCGAAACCCCGCCCACTTCTATGGTTTAACCCACAGCAATACATCTACTCCAAGTTTGTTTATCTAATCAAGAATTTGGAATGCAAGCTCTTAAGAGATTCGAGTTGGTTTCATCTTCGGGGTTGAAAAGATATCTATAACACAGACCTCGTTTGTTCAATGAACTTGACTGAAGGTAAAAACAATGAAATGGATGTTTCAGTTACCTATAGAATGATCCTCAAATAGATCTTGCTACAAATATTAGTTTGCATATTGCCAACAGGAACCAGTGCATGGTTTGTAACTTGGTGATTCATTGTAATCGTTTTAGTTTAAAATTCTTAGAAATTACATATTCAACTATTTTATTTTTCAACTCTTAAGTCATTTTTCCAAATTCTACCTCTGATTCATATTATACATCCCACCTATTTAGAGAAATGTTTACTTTCGACTAGGTTTATAGAATATGACTAAGTTTATTTATAGGTCACTTAGATTAAATGATCATTGTGTTAATCATTCTTAAAAGTTTATGTGAATAAAACTTAGTTTTGCGATCTTCAAGTTAAATTTAATGTATTGTCAACACATCTAGAAGACATAATAACCCATGAGATACGACTATTTGTTTTAGTTTTTGTCAGTTTCATTTGTATCTAGTTCTTATAATAAAAGCGCTTTGAAGGAATTTTAAATTTATACTCGGCAATATTTATGTTTGGGTGAGAAATATACTTAAGTGTAAACATAGAAAGTAATCCTGAGTTAAAATAGTTAAAAGAAATGGAATGAAACATTTATATTGAGAGTCTAAATCCTGTAAAGAACAAATTGTTTGGCGCCTCACATCTCTTTAATCACTGAAATAATACGTAATGCCATGTTTTTCATTCATAAAACCACAAAAATCCCAGAATGATCAGTGCTCGCCGACCAAAGTATTACAAATACGGCACGTAGTTGCTCAACGGGTTAATTCCGATCGCCAG